ATGGGAGTTCCCTTTTAACAAAACACCAACAAAATAAATAAAAAACTAGAATGTGTATGACTTGTATGACTATGAAGGTTTGTTTATACAGATAATTGAATTGAATATTGGGTTGAATGTTTTAATGAGAGAAAAGAATCCGTCATTTGTCATGCCACAAGACTGGATTAAATACTGTACATAACTCAATACTAATAGCCGGAATTAAACAAGCCGCCATGTGCTTGGCCGCATGTTGACCATCATGTCTCCCTGCGCGCTGTGTTGTGTTGCGCTGTGGATAAATTTAGCGCTTCAGCCCCAGACTGGAGGCAGTGGCCCTTTATCCTGCACTGTCCTACTTAACACACTGCTGCCCTGTGCTGCCTCTGCCACCAGGTCTCGCACACGTCCACCTCCCGCTGTCTGGTCCAGAACAATGTTTTTGTCCACACAACGCTCAAATGTCACCAAGTAATAAAGCAGATGGCGCCTTGTTGCATGTGCGATTCCGTAACCGTGTCATAATGTTTTACTGCAGAGAACTGGCCTCAATTCTCGACTGCTTGATTTAATAATGACACTCCGAGTCTTGTCAACAGCGCTGAAATGCAAAATGTATACTACTTAGAGAGCGCGCGGCTGTGAAAGTGATGAGCCTGATTGCGGCACAGTAGGACGACGCCGCAGACTGCACATCTCGCCGCCTGGAGATAGGGCAAAATGACGTCTCTTTTGTTCTGTAATGAAAACATCCGTACAGACATGGTTTTAACTACAGCTAGACGACAGCCAGTCAGTGCTGTCTGCCTGCAGCTGACCAATACAACACCAAGCATCTACCTTCACCTTGGAAACACACAATCCCAGGGTGCATTTCCCTGCTGCCATGACAACCAAGAGCAGCTCTCCCTCATTCGCTTGCCCGGGCTGCCCTCCGTGCCGTCTACCTCGTCTCTCACAACTTGGAGCTTGCGTGCGTGCGCTAGACAAAGACAATTACTGCTGTACCCCTTGAAGCTACATAAAAAAAGAATGAAACAGTTGAAGTCTCTATATTGTGCATTGCTAACAACATGATAGAGCAGGGATTGCCTTTGTCGCCAGAGAAAAGTGTGCAGCAGCCAGGGATGGAGACAGTAAGGACGGGGGGTTCAGAGGAACCGATGATGTAAGCGTTTCAAAACAAGCTGAGGTCTGGGGTTGAGGTTATGAATATTGTCAGCTGGCTGCAGCCTCCACCAACTGGGCTTGGATACTGCACGGATCATGGGGACATGGATATGGGCATATGTGTGTGCATAATATAATGCAAGATATATCGGTAGGGATATTATGATTGAGTTGTAACAAGACAAGATGTGCAAAATGATGCAATTCAAACCTAATGAAAGGGATACAGTATTTTTGGGGTAAAACTAAGACAATTTAGGTTAGGTTACATTTAGGTTACATTTAGGTTTTCTTTTATAGAACCCTTGCTCTGCAAGGTTTATATATTTGCCCATGCATGTAATCTTGTAGGGATTGTATTGCATACTCTCTCCTTGTGCAATCACCATAGGTTATTATTACACAAGAAAAACTGTGCATCTAAAAAAGTGAGTGACAAAAAAGTTGTGTCCATCAATTATACTATTAAAAGATTTCAAAGAATGGTTTGTTTAATTTTTCTTAAAACTTAAAATAAATTGGTAGCAGCAGCAGTCATAGTCCTGTCTCCTACATATTTAAGCGTGTCAATATAGGATCAACATTTCAGCAGGATTACTTCATTATGCACAGGTAATATGTTTATCTAATCCCCTGTGCTTTGTAATAACTGCAGACACCACAGTGCTGCATGCACCAGGAGGAAGCTATTAATTGTCGTCCAGGCTACTTTGCATTTGTAAGCAGCATCAGCACCAAAGGGGGTCTGGTGAATTTCCGCCACAGTTTTGTAGTTGTTTATTTGCCGGAATCACTCCATGGCTCGGGGCATGGCGGGGACACCAGAGGGAGAGGCAAAACATCCTTGACGACAAGTGAAATACAGGGTGGTTGAGCCACTATTTATAACCTGGCCCAGAGTCTGCTCTGTGGCAGCGCAGGGAGAGAGTGAGAGTTACAGAGAATATCACAGCGGAGGAAACACCATTGTTCTGAGCTCTGGCTCAGGCCCATCATGCAAAGAGGTCAAATAGCTGAAAACAAGGCACTTTTTAAAGAGAAGCAGCCTCAGCTCCAGCATGTTTCATGTCTATTAATGTGAAATACAGCATACAAATCAATAGCACCTGAGTTATGTGCCACTAAATGAGTGGCACAAGTGACAAAAACATGTTGACAATGAAAAGAGCTGGTCTGCAAACAAACACATGTTCAGGCACACTCCAGATTATGTTGCAGGGCCCCCTGGTCACCTGACAGGGAGCCCACCGGAGCAAAGCAACAGCTCCAAACAGTAGGCCTCGCATGGATGTAAACACCAGAGGGAGTGACATAATCCAGTAGTGTGGGACAAAAACATGCGCCACTATTTCATCAACAGTCTGCCCGCCTGGCCAGCCAGAGCCACGCGCTTTTACAAGAATTAAAGATAATTGACAAAGATTACTGGGTCTGGATCTCTACCCCGAGAGGCTGATTTCTTTCACCTATTATAGGATAGGGAATTAACACATTTTAAGTGGCGCCAGCTGCATGTGAAAGCCATATCCTGTCAGACCTGAGAAGCTAAGCAGGACAGGGCCTGGTTAAGACAATGATGGGAGACCTCTGGGAAAACCAGATGCGTTATTAATATACCATCCTTTTCTATTGTCAACAACAAACAAAAGTGTTCATATGATCAGTACTAATAATAATGTGTTGGTTTTATATAGCGCTATTCAAGACACTCAAAGACCAGTCGATGGTGAGGCAACCAGTATGTGCCATCAGCCTCCAACCACCACCAGCCATTTACACACACACACCACTCATTCTATGCAATGTGGGTGAAGTGTTTTGCCAAAGGATTCAACAACAGTTTGGCACTTTACAGCCACACTGTCGCACCTGATGTTCCCAAAGGTCTTCCATCTCAGTACTAACCAGGCCCTGCCCTGGATAGCTTCAGAGGTCTGACGGGATCTGTCTTTCTCATGCATGTATGGCCACAATAATTGTATAAACCTTATAAACAACACTCAATCATTACTTGCAACAGCCACCATCTTTGGCACTTGTGCATAGTGTGTTTTACATTCACACTATGCATTTTGCATTTTTTGCATTTTATACATTTTACATTTGGATTCGACCGTATCACTTTAATAAAACCTTCAATCACAGTACGAGTACAGTCAATAAAAGTAAAACTAAAATAAGTAGCTATATCCACCTTCATGTTCTTTGAAATCTTTCTAAAAAAAGGTCAAATTCAACAGAGCTAATGAGAGTGGCCTTTATTAGGATAAGAATAACAAAGGGCAAAGGAATACTTTGGCAAGGCAAGGCAAGGCAAGTTTATTTATATAGCACAATTCATACACAAGGCAATTCAAAGTGCTGAACAAAACAAGAAAGCATTAAAATCATAAATAATCACAGAACATTAAAAAGAAAGATAAAAGTAAAAAATCCCCTCAGTTGTATGCACAGCTAAACAGAACTGTCTTTAACCTGGTTTTAAACATTGTCATTGTCTCACACAACATTGCCTGTCTCACATCTTCAGGAAGACTGTTCCAGATTTTAGCAGCATGAATCTGAAAAGCAGCCTCCCCATGTTTAGTCCTGACTCTGGGCACTAACAGGAGTCCAGTCCCTGTGCTCCTCAGAGTCCGGGCTGGTTCATATGGTACTAACATGTCACTAATATATTTTGGTGCGAGGCCATGGAGAGACTTGTACACAAGCAGAGCTGTTTTAAAGTCTATTCTCTGAGCCACAGGAAGCCAGTGCAGAGACCTGAGGACTGGACTAATGTGGTCGTACTTCCTGGTTCTAGTCAGGACTCGAGCTGCTGCATTTTGAATGTACTGCAGCTGTTTTACAGCCTGTTTGGACAGACCTGTGAGCAGGCCATTGCAGTAGTCTAACCTACTACAGGCAAATGCATGGATAAGAATCTCCAGGTCTGCTTTAGACACTATGTTTTTGATCCTGGCAATGTTTTTTAGATGGTAAAAAGCTGCTGATGTTACTGATTTGATGTGGCTATTAAAATTTAAGTCTGAGTCCAGTATTACCCCTAGATTTCTGACCTTGTTTGAAGGTTTTACTTTGCTTTTTTATAGAGAAGTTTTATCATTTACAAAGTGTAAACAAAAAGGTCTTTCTGTGTCCCAAAACAACATCACAGAGGGACGTGAGAAGTCCAGTTCAGCAGGGACCAGGTGTGGGGCGACACTCAAAAACAAGTGGGGGGACTTAAGCGATAAAGAGAGACAAGACAACCGACTGCATCGCTTTAGTTTAACCTTTCATCATCAGCTCCATTCACACATTTACAATCACACAGTGAATAAAATATGATACTGCACAATGTGAGTGAGGAGATCAAATGAACATAACAGATGCAGTGTATTGGTTGCTCCTCTGCTCTCCCTTTCAAGTTATCAAGAAATAAATATGTCTAACGAATTCATATTGGCTTATAAGGTGAAAATTACAGTAACGCATAAAACAATGGATTATAACAAAAAAAGCCTCTGAAGTGAAACATATTTTTTTCCAATCCAAGTCGTTCCACAAAAAAGACCAGTGCCTCCTCTGCAGGCATCTTTCCAGTTCTGCACTCATTTCCATGAGCTTTTCTGCAAAATGTAAATACTAATATGTTGCTTGACATCTTTATTGTAAGTCTACATGTAACTCCAAGGTGCGCCTTATCACATTACAGCAAAAGTGCTTAAGATGCAACTTTAGAGGCAGAGAGATAATTAACAGTGTGTCTATTGAACACTTATAACAACTTTATTGCAGAAAATGAATTTCATAAAAACTCGCCCCAATGTAATGACTTCACATATTTGTGTGAGCAGCAAACGCACCTCTTGTTGATGGGCTTCTCATCCTTCTCGTACGGTTTGACGAACCACTTCCCAATGCGCACGAAGCTGCGGTTCATGAGGCAGCGCTCCAGCAGGTTGTGGATGGCTTTGAACAGGAGAGTGCGGCATTCGTACGACAGGCCACTTTCCCACAACCCGTCGTCCTCAGCTACAGAAGAACAGAGACAGGTACAAGTTTAATATATAGCTATATATCTGCTATTAATTAATTGAAACTGATCATATCAGCCAAAGGTTTGTTTTGTACCTGACTTTACTTGAATAATAAATGTTTTTTTTAACAGAAAGTCTTGTAAATATATATGTATATATATATATATATATATACACACACACCTACACACCTACACACCTACACACCCCCACCTACACACCCACGCACCCACGCACATATATACATATATATACATGTTATCTTTTACATACAAAAGAGCCCTTTTAGTCACTGATGGTGGTCCTCACTTTTCTGTCTGATAAAGCTGATCTAAAGAAGTGACAGAAGTTGTAGAAGCAAACTGTTAAGAGAGCCAGTAATGAGTTAGAAGGGTTTAATTACAAAGTAAACATCTATGCTGTCCTAAGCTAGGTAACCTAGCTATAATAGTCTGTATTGTGAAGGCAATATTATTGACCACATTTAATTACATTTGGTGATTATCCCAATAACTAAATCCTTTTACAATCTAGATGAAATGCGCTAAGGCAGTAAAAAGGAGGTTAAAGAAATATAATTTATATATAGTAATAATAAACACAAGCAAGCAAGTACATTTACAATTAATCTACAATTCAATCATAAAAAACAAACACAAAATAAAACAACCTTCTCCACCAAATCACTTATGGACCATAAAGAGTCAGAAATTGTGTGTTTTGACAGCTTCTGGTGCAGTTTCATTATTTCCCAAATAGCTTTTCACAATTCCCTGTATTGTTTTGCTTTCCATCAGGAGAGATCTCAGACTGCCACGCTCTGTTTTCGCATCTGACTAAAGTGAACACCTGCCTGTCTGCCAAATCTCACTGTTGGACCTGCACTTTTGAATTTCAGCTCAGCACCTGCAGAGAATTAAAATGCAATTACGCTGACCGGCAAAGCTACAGCCACGAGCAGAGAAATGATCCACATATGGACTGCATGTTCCGTACACCAGTTAGAATGACATCACATATTGGTTTCAGATTCACCTTTGGCGCTGGTCTGAATGCAGCTTTAATCTCATTAACAGTCACTGCTCACTTCTAAACGCTCTTAAGCTTCTGAGTCAAGTCTACTGCAAACATCTCCCAGACCCAGTCAGCGTTAAAGCTGCTAAGTCATGACTGAATGTTTTGTACAATATTGCAGCATATTGTCAGAAATCCTATTTAAGTGAATAAGCCATGTATACAATGTAGATGTACAATGCTACCCTGCTAGCTCAATGACGCCCAATGAGGAAGTGCTCGTGAAAGTGTTACTCCAACTTTCTCTGCAAGCTCAGTGATCCTGGTGTTTAAACTACTTCTACTACTATTGGGCAAGTTTATTTGTATGGCACAGTTTAAGTAAGTAAGTCAGTAAGTAATCTTTACTCATTTAGCGCCTGTGTTTTCAGGCCAGAGTCACAATGAGCTTTACAATTATTATTTTCACACTCCACACAGACATGGGAGGTTGCCAGTACAGGAGACGCATGTCAGACCTACCCAATGGAAACCTACACAGACACAGGGAGAACATGCAAACTCCATTTGAACCCAGGACCTTCTTGCTGAGAAGCGAAAGTGCTATCCAAAATCACAAGGTGTTAAAATCCTAAACATCACAGTACCAGAGGGACAATGCAATCTTTCAGTTGAATGGACAGCAAAACAGAACTGTTTGTAACCTAGATTTCAGATTAGTAATTATTATTAATATATTATTGTTTAATTACTCAGCGTTCCTGATCCCAGAAGGGTTGATTTGACTGAGAGATACAGCTTTATTGTGCAGCTTGAGGGTTATTTTTCATCAATGGACTGACATATAAAATACTAAATAATAGAGCAGGGGCCGAACAGGTGTATGTGTTGAAAGAAAAAAAATCCTGTACCTATTATTAGATGTCAAATAGATACTTAACTTGAAAAGGTCACAGCTTTGCATTATATTTAAATGACCAACGGCCGGCTGCCAAAGAACGAGGGCGAGACGTTCTGATGGCGAGAACCTTTTCAGATGCACACTTTGCTATTATTATGAATAGAGAAAATGGAGCTGCTAAACAGAATTCCATTGCTGTGTAACTAACAATAACAAATGCTCTATCTTATTCTATTCCATCAGGAGTAGGAGGGAGGAAGTAAATGGTTTGGAAAGAGGAAAGACAGAACCTTTCTTGTTTGTAAATTGAGGATGAGGACCCTAACTTTAAAACCACAGAAAAATGAATCAATGTTATATAATAAAAATGGATGCAGCTCTCACAATTGCTAGTTTTTCAATGTGTTTTTGGCCTCTGTCAAATGTTTGGATCAGCTTTTTCCGACAGAAAAGAGAAAACCACTCAAAATCAAGTAATCAGTTCTCAGCCCAAAGCGTCAAATAGTGACTCACAAGGTTCTTTTTTACAATTCAATTCTATTTATTTTTGTATAGGCCTGAATCACAACAGTAGTTATCTCAGAGGACTTTAGAAAACCGCTAAAATCTCCAACACAGATCAGAGAATCAAACCCTTCAACCTCAAAGAATATAAATCACATAGATATTGGTCCATAGGGGGGAGTTGACCAATGTCCTTAAGTGTTGATAAAGGTCCATAAAGTTTCCTGGATCATCACCAAGAACGCAAAAGAAAGATATCATGTTTTCTCACAAGATGAAGATGGAATGTTGTGGTCTGATTTGTTCACAACATTTCACGTTTATAAGACTTCAGTTCAAATGAATAACAAGTATTATCATGAGCTTGAACCGTTCAAAAGTAAAGTCTGTTCAAAGCATCACAACTGTTGCACTGCTGTGAGTTGTTGAGCTTCTGTGCGGAGGCCAGACAAGAGGCAACGAGTCGACAACGAAAAGTCATCCTGCTGAGCTCTGACAACAGATTAGGAGACGGGAGAAAAATGAAAACAACACAGGATTTTGCTCTAATACTCAAGCGCGAGATCAGAGCGGAGATAATATCAGGACTCGCTCAAACAGACGTCACAAGTGCAGTCTACGGTCCAGTCCTCGGATGACTGAGAGGTAAGGCCATCTGGACACATCGTATTCTTTTCTCGTTCGTCGTCAAAGGCAGCCAACGCCTCAAAGGAAAATAAACGACTGTTCAAAACCAAATACTTGCTGTGCTGCCATCAATCGAGATGCAGTAATGGGAGATAATTTGAAAATGCTGGATGTTCTCAAAAGGAAAACATTAAAAAGCTGTGAACACATAGAGGGAATTATTCCAAACAAAAGAGCAACAAAGTGCCTACTCAGAGGGGAATCAAAGCTATTACTGCCAGCCTGTAAACAGCTGCTAGCATCTAGTGTATTTACCGTGTGGGAGGGCTGCACGATATTGGAAATAAGAGCGATTCGATATGAGTTTTTAGCATTGCGATAACGATATCATTGTGATATTTTTGTCTTTCACCTAAAATTGCAATCTGCATTGAAACGCAAGAGACAAATAACAAAAAATAAGCACAACATTAATGACACTCAAATGCATATAATTATATACGTATATGTGTTTGTGTTTAAATGTATTTGTTTGTTGTTTGTGTTGAATGTTGGCGTCTGTCTGTTTTGTTGTCTTTAATAAAGGAAAAAATTGCGGATATTTTCGATATGGATGTTGCACGCACCAATATCGCGATAATAATATTTTTTTGAAATATTGTGCAGCCCTAGTATACATACATACATACATAATTGTGAAAGTTACATTTTTATCATAGTTTATTTAGTTTCAGCATAAGGAGGTTGAAGTCTAGTAAGAATTCCCGATTTGTGTCATCAAATGTATCAAAAATCAGATATTAAATCCTTGCTAAGACTAGTATCAACACTAGATACAGCATTTTGAGTTGCCTGGTGTATGAATTGTGCTGTACAAATAAACTTTCCTTGCCTATATGAAAAAACATAAACAGAAGTTTTTGAAATGTTAAACTACATCATAAAAAACTTGCAAATTGTAAACATAAAAAGAGTTGAAATGACAGTTTATTGTCATCACTCTCTGTGACAGAATGTAAGAAAACTATTCAACAGATCTTTAACTTATTGAAGCTTATTGGTGATGGACACTTGCATCCCCCACAAGGAGCAGGGCAGCCTTGGCAGCAGTACAGCAAAAGCCCAGTTTACAAAACACAGAGGACAATACTGGTGTTGTGGTGCCACATACACAGATGTATCTTTGAGGTCTTACCGCTGACAAATCAGAAAAGCAAATTGATATCAAGTATCAAGATTTTTTTTCTAGTATTAAATTTTGTATTTAAATTTAATGCCTCCCTAATTCTACATTACTGGTATATTATTTTCTATTTATGTTTTGCCAAGATGACTATAGGCACTAGCAGACAAAGCACAGGTGACATTCAAAAGCGTTTTATATTAAACTGGAATTTGAAATAAACAAGCGCAACTGAAAACAAACGTGTAAGCTTGCTAAACTTTAAAAAAAGAAAGAACAAGAATTTTCTTAAATGCTTCTGCAAATGTAGAGGTGGTCGCCCCCCTGTTTCTCATCTCGGCGCATATAAGCAATTAGAGCAGCAGTCGGTCATTAAACAGCAAGATTAATGCCTTGTGATCGCGGGCGCTTAGGGGATTGTGCCGAGTCTGACCAGAAGGTTTTCTCCTCCACTTCCTTCTTTTGCTCCTTATCTGCAAGCGAAGAGACCGTGTGTGCTTCTGTAAAGTCTCCATTACTAATTAATGAAAATGTCTTGAACGCGAGCAAAAGAGAAAGACAGAGAGAGAAAAGAAAAAAAAACTAAGAGGCCAAACCCGTGGACTTGGGCAGGCGCGCATGGCCGATCCATCAGAAGCAACGGAGGAGAGGGGCGCGGTGGAGCTGGAAGAGGCAGGAGATTATCCCGGGAAAATTGATCCCCAAGCACAAAAGCCATCAGCCACCTCCACTTTTCCCTCCTAAGAGCTGCTTCGGCCTTATCTAT